GGAGACTAAGGGGGGGTTATGATTCAGGTCTATAAGATTTTAACGGGTCTGGATGCTGTTCAGCCAAATGACTATTTCAATATTAGTCTAAATACTAGAACTCGTGGCCATAAGTGGAAATTAGCGGAAGAACATTTTAAAACAAATTTGAGGAAGCACTTCTTTACACAGCGTGTAGTCAGAGTATGGAATAGTCTTCCTGCTAGCGGAAGCTAAACATTTCTAAAGAATGCTTTCAGCACCTTGTTGAATCAATGCCACGTAGAATTAAGGCAGTTCTGAAGGCGAAAGGGGGTCAAACAACGTATTAGTGTTCCTAATAATCCTTTAGGTGAGTGTATTTACATAATACAAATTATAATGCAGTATGTTTGTTTAATATTTGCATACTTTTTTATATTTAAAATTTTAAACTAGCCTAAATCTACCCAAGACAAGTGAAAAAACTCACAAATAACTGCAAGAAAAATATTTATTACATATTTACATAATTTATTTTATGTATATTACAATATTTTTTTCCATTGTAGCAAATGAAATTACATCATAATGCTGGACTGCAGAACTTTTATAATAGATTCATTCAGATATTTCTGTTTCCTTGGAAAAAAATAGAACAAAGCCACCACCCCCACCAACTGCATGGTCAGTGGAGCGTTGCCCAAAGTAAATCACCACATTTCAGTAGCCTAACTCATGACGGCCCGTTGTTTATTTTCAGAAAAGAAAGTTGTTTTAAAATATATATATGTATAAACGATGTTTAGGCGATATTGAAATATGGTATGAATTGTTTCTTGCGACCGAAGTTTTCCGTTTCGTCGCATGGAACATCAATACTGACTCTTCCCCCTACTGGTCATGTGCAGCAGGCGCAGCAGCAGTTCTTCAGGTGCGCTTCCCATTGAGAGGGAGGACTCCTCGGGTGAAGGCTGCTGTCTCATGTCGTCCAGGCAGTCTGCATCTAACGCGCAACCGTCTGTCAAGATATAAAACGCGCATTACGCACACACACACACACACACACACACACACACACACAAACAGCATATTCTTTCATTAATTCGTTTATTGGTGTATCATTCATTCATTTATTGCATTGTATAAAGCCTCTATTAAAATTTTCGTTTCATTGTATGTATGCAAATTTATAAATGGACTTAACTTAAACACGCGAACAAATTAATCGCCTTCTCACATTTAAACGGCGTGGATCAATTTACTAGACCTACTTTTATCGGAGAATCAAGCATGCCTTGCACGCCCTCTATAGGTGCTTCCGCGCACTGACCTGTGTCACAGCAGATGCCCGAAGCGGCACAGCGCCCGCCCTCGGTCCCGCACACCTTCCCTCCAGCCTCGCAGGGACTCGGCAGGTAGTTCTCTTCCAGACAGCGCACCGTCTCCGGGGAGCCCACGTAGCAGCCCATCCCCTCCCCACAGCAGATGCTGGGGCCAAAGCAGCGCCCCCTGGCCCCGGGGCCACATGTCGAACACTGGCGATAAAGCAAGAAGGATTAATTCATCTAACAGCAAGAATAAAAAATACTCAGAATTACACCAGCAAAAATAAATAATGTAATATTTTTTTGGCTGATGATGAGAAGCGTTTAAGGGATATAGAAATACACTATAAATGTAGTTTTTGAAAAACTTTAAAACTACGCTGGCGCACTAATCCAAATGTTTTGAAGGCTATTTTCTAATAATAATAATAATTGACACTTTTATTAATCCCCGTGGGGAAATTCTTTTTACGCCTCCCTCAACTTGCTCTTTGTAGAGCAAGCTGTCCGCGAAGGGCAGCCACCTGTAGCGGCGCCCAGGGAGCTGGGGGTTGAGGGTCTTGCTCAAGAACCCGCAGACGTGCTGAGGCTGGGCTTGAACCGGCGACCTTGTGATTACAGGCACACGGCTTAGCCCACTGAGCCATAAAAAACACAGCCAAACAAACAGGAACGTCGAACATTTCGATGATAAATAATATCAATGGATTGTGCTGCGTGTCCAACCACGTATTACTCTGCTTCCAAAAGAACAGATCGACGCGCATTTTTTTTTAAATTAAAACGTTAAATGTAAAATACGGCAACATGATAATACTCACAGATGAAAACATGATCAGTATCTGAAAGCTTTTGCAGTAATTAATTAGTCCTTTTATTTGATTGATAGAACTGCTTTTTCCCCGGAAAACATTGCATATAAAACTCGTCACATGCGAGGAACTATCACTGTAATCTGTATAATTAATCACTACCTACATTTGATTGTACGTATTGACTTTAGTTAAATTGTAAATGGGAAACAAATACATAATCTAAATTGAAATAACCGTTGCACATAAACGCCAAGACAATCTAAAAGATAATCGAAAAGTTTTTATTGATGTTTTACAATCCCATAGGTGCGCTCGTATAAATGGTGTTTCAGGTTTTAAGGCTAAGCATCTTATTTATGTAAAGACGCTTATTTAAAAGTTCACCGAAGGTTTAATAGTTGAAAGTAGACGTTACCTGTCTCAGGTCTGGGTCTGGGAAGGAGCGCTTCCCACCCCGCGGGCAGTTCTGGATGTAGCAGGCAGAGGAGAGAGTGAGGAGGCTGAGCATGATCAGCAGCAATGCGGAGTCCGGCATCGCGGCTGAAAGGCGGCGGAGAGCTGCGGCTGAAATCTTCTCCCGAGTCTTCTGAAAGACTGTCGGCGTTTCAGAATCATCTGGTATTTATAGAAGCCTGACCACTTCCCTACACGATACATCTGTTTTTTTTGTCTATACGTCACACGTCGCCGCGCGTAACAGACATATTTTAATTAAAAATACGTATGCAAACCCCAATATGCCCCCTCTTACTTTTTAGAAACAGGACAGAAAAACTGGTGCTATTAATATAATAAAAAATATATATTTTCTAGTGCTTGATGCCAGTAAAATTACATCCACCTCTATAGAGTCCCTACATTATAAAACATGGTGATTTTATTTATATGAACATATACTTATGGGTATGCATATTTGGTGGGAATTATTTACCTGTTTAACTGTTATACTTTGTGGAGGTATACATGCAGGGACATATATAGAAACATCCAAACACCATTAACTGAGAAAAGTGGATGCCTTCTGTGATTGTACATATACAAATTAAACAATTCATTATCAAGTTCTTTTTCCTAAATTTCGTAGTACAGTTTTATAAAGCAGAATTGTGAATATGTATAAACTTAGAAAGTCCAGCGAAGTTATAAATACTGAAAATGACAATACCATATTCATAAGGACTACAGTTCTACTAGCAAGAATAAGTGTGGGGTATGTGGTACTGATTATTTATTACGTACTGAATCTGCATTAGGTTATTTTGTACTATTGTGAAAATGACAGTAAGAGTAATGAGCAGTTAATAGCTAGACCAGAATAAAGGATTAAATAAAAGAGAGAGAAAAAAACAGATAGGTCATGCCTAGGGATGGGTTTGCATTAAAAGTGTCTTATTTCATCAGCCAACAGCTCTGAACATCAGAAATGACACTTGCTGATTCACAGAGGATAATGTGGCTCCATGTTTATGAAACATGCAAGGTCGCATCCAAACGAACAACAAAATATGGCATAATCAGAGTTAATGGGAACTGAGACAGTGAAACTAAAACATCAATTTCAATCTTAAATGACTGCTTTACAATGCATATAAATGCATTATAAAGCATATGAGATGTATAAACTAGTTTTCTGACATTAAAGTCAAGTTACTTCCCATTCAGAGGCAAAGTCAGTCTTTTTTCAGTAGTGCACGAATTGGCATTGGCTCCCACACGACACACAGCATAAAGGAGATTGTTTCAGGTGGACCTTGCAGAAGGTAAAATCCTCCCATATGATATTAAGCTGTATAAACCAGTAAAGTATACAATGATTTAACTTAATAAAAACAAATAAAATATTGCTTTAAATGAAACAATTAGAAAATTTTGGTATTGTGTCAATACCTCTTAGAAGTCTGCATAGACAGAACCATAATTTTTAAAAAGCATGAATAGAGGTATGGTTGGATACCAACTGAAATCATAATTCAATAAATTTAAGAAAATTTTAACTATTAAGAACAAATGACCATCTCGTGCCATATGATCAAACAAATGATTTAATATTTCACCAACTGCTATGCATACAAGTCAACCATTCAAAAAATCATGTACTCTACTATACAGTCATCCATCCATCTGTCCAACCATTTTTATGTCACAGAAGGATTTTGGTTGAAAAAAAAAGAAAATCTGTACTTATCCACCTTCTAACTGTTGATCCTCATGAGGGGCGAACCTGGAGTCAGGAAACAAAGGGCACGAGGTTGGGAAACACCAGGCGGCTCATTCCAGATAGGGAACGAGGATGGGAAACACCAGGCGGCTCATTCCAGATAGGGCACGAGGATGGGAAACACTAGGCGGCTCATTCCAGATAGGGCATGCGTCTCAAGACACATGGACAGAATCATAGGCTATGGGCAATTTCCAGACACCCATTAGCGTAAACATGTCTTTGGAGATGGGCATGCCTCTCAACTGATTTTAAATAAATCATTCTCTTTATGCTTGGGAAATCATTTCTTCATCTAAGAGCAACTTGAAATCTAGGGCTGCATTTGAAATTACCCAATTTTCTTAAGTAGTGAACTATATAGTGCATCCACCATTTTGCGGTGCTGTTAGAACAGCAAATCTGACTCACTTTAAACTGCAGTGAAAATTCCCACAACCCACTGAAAATTGTAGTGTACAGAGGATGTAGACTAGCAGGCTACCAGTGTATCTTAATGTAATGCAAAGGTGTTTTTCTGTCAACTGATTGCTTAAAAATAATTATTGATAATAATAATAATAATAATAATTATTATTATTATAATAGCAATAATAATATTAATATCCTGGTTTTGATTTAGGATTAAAAAACAAATTATCATTTAAAATAAATTGTACATATACACACCCATATTTATATTATATCCTTTATTCCATTAAGTTGCCACTGTTTATGATGTATTGGTGCCCCATCCTGGCTTCATCCCTGTGCCCATAGCTACCAGGATAGACTCCTAACCCCTGCCACCCTGCATAGTATAAGCAGGTACAGAAAATGGCAGGATGGTTATGGTCACTGTATTGTGCTCTTTGTAAATGTCAGATGTCAAAGGTTGCTATAGGACATCAGCAACGTGGAATGTAGTGTTTAAAACAGACTTGTTTTATTAATTACTTATATTGCAGACTACATAGATTATCCCCATACATCGCACAGTGAGTGAATCATTCCAAATGCAGCTTAGGTATTAAAGTGTAACTCTTCTCACTCTCCCTAATCAAATTGTCTTTGTGGTGCTGAATCCTGATGTTGGCAGCAAAGACCAATAAAATGGAGCATTGTACTGGCAGCCAATTTTCTTGTTAGATTTAATGACTGATCATGCAAATCTATTCCCCCATGTTATATTTAGCTACTCCAGCAAGACTGGAAACACTGACATGGCTTCGCTTCGTTAGACTGCCTGACGGAACTATCTTGCAGTTCTGTGCCATGAGAGCTGCCTGGTTACCTGGTCAGTGGCACAGCAAGCTCACCACGGTCTCTTCATTACCATCTAAGAAGCCTCTCTCCCCTTGTGTTGCCACATCTTTGTCTTGCATTGCTTTTAGTATTCTGCTTTTCATCACTCTCCCAGCTGCATGTAGACCCATCGCTGCCCCCACCCTGACTGAGGCCAGTGAGACATGGCCTCCATGTCTCCCTGGGTGCTGCTGGGACATGAGACATACGAGCTTCCATCTGAGCCTCATGGGGGATTCTGACATGGTTCCTTGGTCTTATTGCCCAGGGTGGTGATCAGTTGCTGTCCAGAGACTTGATAGTGAACACTTCTGGGGTGCTGCTTCCCCGTGATGCAACCGGCAGGCCATCACATAATAAAATGCAAAAATATTCTTTAAAGTCTGGATAAATTAGTAAATATTGTAGTAATAACGTTTTAGTACCCGGCTGTGTGCCTGACTGGTAACAAACATTTCAGGGGGGTTCAAATCCTTTATTTTACTAGGTAGCTATGTGCCGGGAGAGGTCTGAAAAGCTGTGGATATCCTTTAAAGACTCAAAAGGTTCCATCAATGTAGCATGCATGGCCTTGGATATAATGAGTGACAACACGTATCCTTCATCGTGGACATACATGAATAGCATCACATTGTCATACCTAGTAAAGTGCCTGATGCAACACACATATTTTTGACTCTGTGGTTTACAAAGCACTATGGTTACATAACAGTCTATATCCACTGTGAAGAACAGAGGAACCAAAATGATGGGTGAATATCTGCCCCTCACACATTACCCATCTCTGAGGTAGACTGTGCATTATATTATTACAATGCTTGAATTATGGCGAAACTTGATGCTGTCAGAACAATAATATACTCCCCCAATGGCCCCATCGCAACCCTACTCTTCCCACCCCTGTCCTCTACAACCTCTGGCCCCCCTACAGACTCTTCCCACCTCTCCAAAAAATCTTTATTAAAAGCCCAACTTGCATGCCTTGCCTCATTATAGTCAGCTTCACCAGATCTGCGCCTGTGGCTGTCCTTTCATGTGCTACCAGTAAGTGACACTGCTTCAGTTTTGGTGTGATTTGTCTCAAAATGAAATCATCACTTACATAATGTTTCTGGGAAGTTTGAAAATGATCCTTTGAATACTTTTAGTTACTGTACTAACAGCAGCTAGTTTTCTGCAGTCACCATTCTCTTTGCTATTAGTGTGTGGCACTGCTTCAATTTTGGTGCAATTTGTCTCAAAATTTCACCATCTGCAAAATGCAAATGCATCTGCAAAATTTGAAAAAGACCCATCAAATACTTTTTCAGTTATCATGCTAATGAGATAAGTGTCTGCGGCGGCAGCAGACTGGTCCCCAAACAATATGTATTCCCAGACCAAGGAATACAATTATTGCACTAGAGAATGCTAATCCTGTCCTGCCACCTCTAAAGGTTGGGCTTCATGAAGTCCTTCTCATTGGTGCTTGTAATGCAATGTTTTCTATCTTTAATTATCTGTTCCCAATCATATAACTACAGATGTAACATTCCTTCCAATCAAGTATCAGTTTCAGACTTTTAGAGACATTGTGCACCTTCACCTCTCCACAATGTATTAATTTGACAGGGATAATTAATTCACTCAGCCCAAATTCATCCTACTGCAACTGGAGGGTATTAACACAGCATCTTACACCAGATTCACTTTTCTAAAGCAATCAAAACCATTAGATTTACACCAAGCTCAAGAGACTTGATTGACGAAATATCTTAATTTATCTTCCAACAGGTTATCCAACAAGGGGTCATTTCAGTGAATGGAGCCTATCTCAGACAGAATAGGACACATAGACAGGGGAACCCTCCGAATGCTAATCCATCTCAAGCTACAGGCAATTTAAAGATGCCAGTTTACATATCTGCATGCATTTGGGCTTCAGGTGGTCACCTCTTCCATAAGTAAACACATACTCCACTGCCATCAAGTTCTTCATGTGGCATGCATGTCTGTGGATATACACACATGGTCACCTTCACGCATCTTCCAGTGTCTGACGGCCAATCGATAGCTGGGGACATGGGGTTTGCTCCCAGACAAAGACATGACAGCCTTGGCAACCCCCCAGTTGTACGGTACTTTTTAATTCCAGCCACAACAATAGCTATTGGCCCAAGGCCTTGTGCTTACTCAAAAGGTGCACACATACATCCACTCAGTCATTCAACTTCACAAGCTTTGTTTCGAAAGATAAATGCATGCTGTGGCACATTGCTGTGCTCCTTTATTCTCTTTGACCTTAGAGGAGCAAGCAGACAATTAAAACAAGAATTTTGTGGAAGTGAACATCACGGACGCGCTGCTGATTGCACATGTTCAGCAGTGCACACGCACGACGGAGCTGGGCCTTGCCGGGGCGCCACAGGTGGGACAAGACAGGGAGGAATATGGGGGCTTCGGGGGGCATCTGGTGGACAGGCAGGGCCGACAGAGCAGGTGTCCGCAGGGCAGGCGGAAGGCTGGCGGGGACCCAGGGAACGCTGTGAAAGCACAAGAGCACTGTCCACACCTCTTTGCACCTGGGAGAGAGGGAGGGAAGTGGAGCCACATGTTAAAAGGTGTTTCACTCTGAATTTAGGCAGCATTAGCAATACACAGCTTCACTGCTGATTCTAATGGGTTCCGTTTAGTCAATGTAGCCTAATTCTTACTGACACAGCAACTTGTTAAGATGCTGTAAATGACAGTTTCCTCAAGTGAAAATACAATGATCATATTATCTCTTGGAAATTAGTAACTTTTAGAGGCAGTCTTTCTAAACCCGGTTCTCGGGGACCTCCAGATAGTCCATGTTTTTGCTCCCTCCCAGCTTCCTGCCAGACAGTCTGCATTTTGGCTCCTGTTTGGAGGTCTCCGAGGACTGAGTTGAGGAATACTGTTTAGGGTAATGGTGTTTTGCGCCTTAGGGCACATAGCCTGTTTAGCCAAGCACAAAACTCAAAGTAGCCAACACAGGACAGCACAACTTGTTCTGCACCTTTATATCCAAGAACTACTTAGTGACCAGATGTCGTGAGTTTCAAAACCTTGGGCTCACCATGCGGAGTATCTCAAGTCCCAGACATTGTCTAAAGCACAGAGATAAATATTATAGTCAAATATTTTGTCACCGTACATTTAATGTTTTTTTTATTTTACATTTATCTGATGCTTTGTTCCAAAAGAACTTTCAGTAAAAGGAAGGGTTACAATTTGGGTGTGGCCTCTGGGAACTGAACACATGACCTTTGCGTGGGTTAACGTGAAGTTCTATTTGTTGAATTATAAAGAATAAAGTAATTCAACATGAGACCTCATTAATCATGTTACTGAAGACAGAATCAGCAAGAAAACATAACAGAAACGTAGAGCAAGGATAGGAGCATGCTACAGGGCTCCCATCTTAGAGGAAGGCAGAATTTATTCTGCTTGCGTAATGGTTCTGTAATGCAGGGTCCTTTGTGAGATTAAAAGGCCACGGGGCAGAGACACACTGCTGCCCACGTCATGTTGTGCTTCATACGTATTGCAACTACCTCTGTAAACAAATGTCTAGGGTCTTTCAGTCATAAATGGTCTTGTAGCTCTTGCCCATTTTCCTTCAGCACTGGACAGCCCACTGCCTTCACTAGAGGTGGGAACTTGTAAAGCGATTTGATAAGTATCACGGTTTCTCTAGTTTTTGCTGAAGAGCATTTCTACATTTAAAGACAAGGGGTGAGTTTCCCGAAGCGTTCTTAACGCTACGTCGTTCGTAAGTTCTGTGTTAAAAGATAGAACTAACGAACGACGTGTCGTTAAGAAGGCTTCGGGAAACTCACCCAAAGGCTGTAACAACACACATATTTGCTGCACGTTTTTGGTTATATCATTTTTGTTTCCAAAGGCACAATGAAATGAATGAATATATTTTTTGACATGGGTAAAATCTAATTTCACATGTAGATTTTCAACGTTGAAAGTTTATGCTAATTGTAACTGCGAGCTGGTCACAGCTAGTGTTGGGGAGCTCAAAATATCCTCCCACAGCACATTAAATCAGTAGTTTGGGAACACTTTGGTTTCCCAATAAATAACACCAACAATAGAGAGAGGATAGTTGATAAGACCAAGACAGTCTGTCAGTTTTGTTATACCAAACTCAGATATGTTGCTGGAAACACATCCAACCAGCTAAATCATCTGAAATATCATCCGAGTGTGTATACAAAGGAGGAAGGCAGAAAGAGCCTTTGTAAGTTAGTCTCCCCATGGCATTTAAGGCACTTCTGCCAAGAAATTCAGACCAAGGCTCTAGGGGTGTTTAGATATGCCACCATACTTGGTATTAACAAAACCAAATTTTGCTTTCCCTGCTGTACCAAACCCTAAACTGTAGCATGTACTGAATCATGAATTTTGTGTTCTGTTAGTAAAGGCTATTTTCTCACATTAATGAGCCTTTATTGAGCTACGTGTTTGTGGTAGTCAAACTCGGGGTGTTGGAAAAGATGTGTGCAAATGTTAGTGGTATTAGGTCTGGATGATAGGGCAAAATATTTTATCATGATAATTTTTGCCATTTCAGATGATAAACAATTATCATGATATAATTTAAGTAATGATTTCGTTAATTCAAAGCTTTTGCTTAAAATTCCATTAGGATTCATTCCCCTTAAATAGATTCAGAACATGGGAAAAAACACAAATTGAAAGGACTACAAGCTGAAATCTAATTTTAACAAATAAATAATACAAAACTCTTACTGTAAGAGGAAACTAAAAAAAAAAAACTAAAAAAAACGCTGACAGTACAGTTTTTGCTAGATTTTTCCGAGGTTGACTGCCTCGCTGTTTATTCCAGGGAACTGCTTTGCAAAGGCTGATAGAGTTGCTACCCTTCTTGTACTGAAAAATAAAATGCAGTCTCTCGTTTTTAAACCAATACAGGACACAATTTGTCTCATAATTCTTCAGGTTGAAAGTGGAAACCATAACTGCTGGTATCTGTGACTGTAAGTGCTTGCATTCTGTACGTTCTACTGGATAGCAATGAATCAAGGTTTGCAATACACAGCACCAGACTTCAAATTGTTAAAGTATTGTCACACCATCAACATTTACTATGTTCATCCACAATATCTATAATTAAAAGATGTCGTGGTTGATAAGCAATGACTTTCTTCACTGAATCCTCCTCTGAAGGAATGCTTATTTCTTCCATGACGTTACCAAACAGTAGCAAGCGGTGCGCTCTGCTGACTCAGTCAACCTTGCTGTGCTTTTGTTAGCGCCACATGATTTGTACCACATGATTTGTACCATATGTACTGTGTTCATTTCTGTTATCAAACAAAGTTCTTTATCGAAGTTTCTCATTCTTCATTTGTTATCGTGACAATTAGTCTAATTACTACTAAATTCTACTGCAGCAAATCTTTCCGATAGCCGTACTCATGTCTAGGTGTCTGTTTACCTTGTAGATTCCAAAGTTTGCCCAGACTTCAGATTTAAACTGAGATGGTGCTGGGAAGGTCTCTGCACGCCTCATTCATGATATCACTGTGCCAGACTCCCCCCAAATCTTCAGCCCCTCCTCAATACCTACCCATGCCGCCACCCTGCATGGCATTATTGCTTGACCCCGGTTCCTGAGCACGATGGGCAGTGAACCCAGGACAGGCTCCCAGAGCGGACTTCAGGGCCTGATCCAGGCTCTCGGACAGGCGCTGCTCATGGGAGATGCTGCTGGGGCCTGAGACACAAACAGAGGGCAAGTGACTCTCAGCCTGTGAGTTACAGGGCAGAATAGAGCCGCACAGGGCAGGATGGAGCTGCTAGTGTGGCTCCCCCATTGCTGAACCACACCAAGCTGAACCACTAAACGTGTCACTTCTGTTACCTTCCTAACTACAGTAAACTGCCCAGCTTCATACCGGAAACCCTCAGTCCACCTTAAACCAGACACCTTTAAGCAGGTATTTCTCCAGTGGACCAAGATTTCTCAGCCTGAAGCATTTCAAATATGCATCACCTATAGATGCCGTTTTTAATTATTAAGATTTTTATTTGATCGATATTTGTAATACTCTGGTGTTCCATAAGTGAAGTTTAAGTGATAAGTTGTCATTGTTGATGCACCACAGCACACAACAACAAATTGTGCCCCCTGCATTTTGATTATGCTTCCCTAACCATTAGGCCACCACTGCCACTAATCAGGATTATAATGAATCATTATAAATAATTTGAATTGTCTTGCAGGCACTGCTTGTTTGATGCATAGAACCACCACAAGGTGTCAGGGCCAAGGACAAGCAATGGACAAAGTAAACAATGAACAAAACAAATAAACCCAGCCTCATTCAGCTTCCTGTGGGTTTGTTTGACTTCACTCATGCTGGACATTACATTACAGCATTAGATACAGAGAATGACATTACAGAAAATGACATCACATCACAGCATTAGTCACTGAAGGCGTAAGACAGAGGAGCTACTGGACTCAGCTTGCTTACCTGAGCAGACTAAGGTGTCCTCCTGTTTCCTAAGGTGTTTTGGGGGCACCTCTGGCATAGAACACGGGCTGTCTGCAGAGTCTGGATCCACCAATGAGGAAGGGCCCGGTCTGCAGCTGGAGGGACTTCCCAGATGCTTATCAAGCGCTCTCTTCCTGCCATACAAGGATGGCCTTGTCCCCCTGCTTGATTTACCCTCAGGCTCTTTCACCAGGGTCCATCCCTCCCGCACCTGCCAGCCACGCTCCGCTGCCCCCTGCTGGATTTCGGATCCCCCACACACTTGAGGTTGCGGTGATATTGGGGTCTCCTCTGGATGAGGCGTTCCCACAGTCTGTGGTTTTGCATGGCTGCTCAATGTCTTGGGGGGACCCTGAGAGTCTGAGGCCGCCAGAGAGCCGTCGGAGCTTCCAAAATTAACCAACCTGGATGGGTGTGGCAATTCCTGCTGCACCACTCGTCCAAGCTGCCCCGTCCTGCCCACAGCAGCACCACCATGTAGCAGGAAGCGGTCAATGCGGCCCTTCATGTCTGGGTTGGGCAGAGGCTGGGAATCCCGGGTGAAAGGAATCCCGGTAAAAGGGTCATTGGGGAGGCGGCCCCAGCTGGCCTCCTGTCGCTGGTACTTCTCCAGTGAGGTATTGTCAATCACCACCCCACTGGGCAGCAGCAATGGCAGCGTCATGACTTCCTGCGTAAACGGGTCTAGGAACTCCTGGGGAATGTTAGAGTCTGGGAAAGGTGAATCTGAGGTAGGTGGTGAGGGCTGAGGCAGGGCAGGTGTTGGAGAAGCCTGCCTCTGACTATCCTGGTGTGCCTTTACAATCCTTTCCAACACCAGTGGGGGGCAGCAGTGAGCTGGCAGTCCCCACACTGCAAGGGCCTTGAGCCCAAGCGGTGAGCCAGCTCCTCCATATGGAAGAGAAACCCGGAGCTGAGTCACAGAGCCCAGTGACTGGGGCCCTCGGCTCCACAGCTCCTCACGCCTGGCCTCTGCTGGGGGCTCAGGGGGAGGCTCTGGAAATGGAGGGCGGGACCTAAAACAGGGCAGAGCAAAGCTGACACACAGGGCCTCCTTCACCTCGCAGCGGCCCACCAGCCGAAAGTGTCTGAGGTCCAGGTGCGGCCCGTCCGGTGGGGGGTTGGAAGACATGTGGATCTCCAGGCCCCGGGGCATCTGGCCGTGGTCCATGCCGGAGGGCCAGAGGGCCACATCCACCCGGCAGATCTCCACCCGGAAGCGGAAGCGGAGCGTCACATGCACAGGGGGCCGCAGGAAATACTCCAGCCTGAAGCCCCGCAAGCGGAGCTTCGCGTCCGCTGACAGCAGGTTCGAGACGTCGTACCCATCTGCGGACAGCTGGGGGCGACGGCGGCAAGAGTGAGACAAGAGGGAAGTGAAAGTAGGCGAGTGGAAGGACGGATGGCAGGAATGGGATGCACAATACGGTGAGGTTTACATGTCATTCTGGACAGGGAGGCATTGCGGCTGTCTGGAATACTGACATTCCAGGGAAGCCGGACAGAGGCTGGAACATCTGCAAGACCAGAGTCGACATCTATCTGCAAAACGGCACGTCGCCTTCCATGTCCAATGTGCGAGTGTGATAAACACCCAAGGTTACCTCTGACGCACCCCCCCGGAAGGAAGAAGACACAGCACTACTACCAATAAACAGAGGACAATGAGGGGACACACGCCAGCAACCCACAGCCCAATTAACCCCAAACTCCCAACCAATTTAAACAACACAGCCTCTTCCAGTCCTTTGGGTGTATAATTGCTTAATGATCATCACTACAGAAAACGTGATGTCTTTAATAACAATGGAGTTCAAGTTTAATTAAATGCCCTTATTTACATCTTATTCCATCATGGTTACAAACAGTTCTGACTTGCAGAAGAAAAACCTGCGATAAATTAGAAAAGAAATCCTGATAGGCCGTCTCACTTGGAGGACTTGGTAAACTGCCCCCTTCATCCAACCCTATGAGGAAAAAGCAATTAGAAAGACTTGGATAAAAGAAACTAAGGGAATTGCTGCAGCTTTAAGGCCACTGCACACCAAGTCCATATTTTTCATCTCAATTTGTCACATTTAAAAATAAATACGACCTCACATTGTGCTAATCATTTACACAACCACTCTGAAACTTTCATTGGTCATAAGTTTTTGTGTGTGTGTTTTTTTGCATCCATCAAAAGCTATTGACAATGACCTTGTATGAATGCTGCAGCGTTTGGGGGCTGTTTGTAGGAATGTGTGCCAATCACCTACAGTGCGCTTTTTCGACAGCACAATTTGGATTGTCTATTAAACTCATGGTGTGTGTGTGTCCCAGCCCTAGACATACCGCCCTAGACATACCGCCAGCTGTGATGTGATGTCATGGATTGGGTTTGATAGAGCTGGGTGGTAGGCCCAGAAAATGATATCGCAATATTTTCAGAGATTTTAACAATATTGATTATGCATGTAACGATGAATCGTGAATCGGTTAAAAATCGATGTAAATGTATGACAATTTAAACCGGCTGATGTGGAAAATGAATCGCTACTTTAGGAATATTTCACGGTACTTTACTTAACAGAAAAACTGCCATAATATTACATTTGATTTCACGACGTCAGTTCGACGTCGGATGTCACTGCGTATTCATGTCGACGTCGTACGTTAGTTTTTGGTTTTGACCGAATGCGAGATGGTGAGCGAATTTGACATTGTGGACACACACCCCCCGATCTTAAATCAGCGGTGTTGCAGTATTTTAGCTTTCCGGTAACCACAAACGAAAAAGGCGAGAAAAGCACACACAAGACAAAAACTGCGTGCAAACATTGTAAAAGGCTGATACACAAAGAGCACAACAAACATGCTTCAGCATGTCCACCAGCACCACAGTGAGCAGAGCAAAGATTATTAAAAGGACAAACCACGCTAAAAAGATGCACATGCAAGCCTTAGTTTATTTGGTAACGCTTTATATTAAGTGCACCTTCATAATGCATTCATTATGCATTTATAGAACATTCAGTGCACCTCCATAATGCATTCATTATGCATTTATAGAACATTCAGTGCACCTCCAAAATGCATTCATTATGCATTTATAGAACATTCAGTGCACCTTCATAATAATTTGTCTGCAGCTCATTCTGTTAAAAAATCGTGAGAAAATCATATCGTGAACTCAGAATCGTGAATCATATTGAATCATGAGTTGAGTATCGTTACATCCCTAATATTGATATTTATCACAATATTGCGATATTCTTATATCTTTATCAAAATATTCTAATTCATATGTAGAACACCGTAAAATACAATCATAATGATCAAATTGTTTTACTTATAGTTTAGAGCATGTGACAGATAATAAATTAAAAAACGCTAACAGACTCATAACATGATGCAATTTGTGCATAAATAACTCAATATAACTGTCAGTTATGCAAAAAAGTGCTTATGCTATATCACAGTACTTATGACATTCAAACTGAGGAGAATATGAACATTAAGAATCAGGACACTATATTTTATCGATATATTGTCCACCCCTAAGAATGTGCACACACACCACCCTCAATCACACACAATGAGCAAATTGGAGATGCCAATTCAGGTAACCATATGTATCTGGACTATGGGTGGAAACCCATGCAACACAGGGAGAACATGCAAACTCTACACACAGAGGGGAGGGAAGGCGTTTGAGCTCACAGCCTTGGAGACGTGAGGCAACATAAGAACAAAAGTACATAAGAATTTTACAAACGAGAGGAGGCCATTCTGCCCAAGAAGCTCGTTTGGGGGGAACTTAACTAATACAGCGCCAATATTATCGAACCATTGTAGATGAAATTATTTTTATAATGAATATCTTCTCATTACAAGAATCTCTTTCCTTGTATCCTACTTTTTTATGAATTAACTTTACAATGAAAGTAGGAATGAATGCCCCACATTAAACTTAATGGGCATCAATGTCTTGTAATGCTAATGAACCATCAGCAGAGACACCATGCACAGCCGAGTACCAAAGTGGAGTGTTTATTAAGTCCAGCAGGAGGCAGCGTACCTTATTGCACTGCACGGTGGTCTCAAAATGCGGAAGACACAGGTTCACCACCATGACTTCTGTCCTCCACACCTGTAAGGGAAAGAGCAGAGGAGCGCCTACTATTTTAATTTTACTTTAAGACAATTCCTCATTCATGTTTAGGGGCAGGACGGATTTCCAGGCCAAGCATATTTCCTGTGAATTATGTGGGATGAAAGGCTGCTCTGTTCATATGTGTTTATAGCAGTAAGGAGTTTCCCACAGAAAAGACAGACAGGGCTACACATCAAAACTACAGGGAAAACTCAACCGAATCATCAGCATCTACATGTCAATGAGCATGTCATTAATTACATACTGAAGAGGACTAATTAGTTTAACATTCAGCTGGAAATTAATGTTAAAACCTGCAGAATAGGAGACATCTCAGGTAGTTCATTGTACATCTCGTCTCACACACATATGACCACAAAGAACCATAAATCAGCTCCAAACACCACAACTTCCACCAGGGCTGGAGGGGGCATCTGGCACATGGGTGTATGGACTGATTGTGGAAGACCACTGCCCCCTCCCTCCGCCCTGCTACACACATGGACCCAGTCAGCTATGGGGGAGCCCAAAGTCCAGGGCCAACTTCTAATAACAGTCCAGCTCTGACTTTCACTAAACTCAGCAGAGTTAAATCTTTTTTTTGTTTTTGTTTCGTTCTTTCTTGTTTCCCCCCCCCCCCCCAAAGTGTTTTCCTCTACTTTCTTGCATTTAAGCTGAACTACGTGCCTTGGAGCACCAATAAAGGACTTCACAATGTATAAAAATCTTACATATTTCACTTTGCATGGGAGTTTACACCCAGTTCGGAAACAATATGGCTACCAGTAAGCGATCATTATCGTGTGGCTATGGATGGAAGCCACCCAGTGCACAGCCCAGTGCTCGTCCGAGCCATGGTACCTAAGCACAGAGCCTGCCGCCAACAGGCGCCCAAGATGTTCTTTTGGTTAAATCCTGTTCAATGTCACACCACAATGAGGCACAAAGAAAAACTGCAGAGCTGAGGTCTGGGTCTGTCTTCACAAAAGAAAACAATTATTCCATGATTTAGCACAGTATTCATGGCCACTTGTCAATAGCAGAGGAGGGGAAAAAAAGCCAGTAGGGCTGTGAAGGTAATATTCCCATAGAAAAAGCTGAAATCCATGGGATGAATCCCCCTGGCTAGCCAAGTTAATGTTTTGCTGGTTTGTCGGAAGAAAACATTTCCATTGAAGCTCAACTTGGGTGAATTCATTAAAATTCATTGATTATCTTTCAGAATACCACTTACAACATGTTCTAATCTTCTATTTTACAGTCCTCTGCCAGATTTAACAAGGACAGAATAGAAAATGGCTTTGGTTTTCAATCTTGTTCTTGAAAACTGTGTATTTAAATTAGATACTATGTTTCCAATGGGTAGACCATCTGGATACATGTAGAAGTCTCCAGCTGATTGTTTTTTAGTAATTTGGGGGGGGGGGGGGTAGGCAAAATTTTAATCTTTTAAAAACCAATGTATGAAACCAAATTACCTCCACCCCACCCTTGGTTCCCGTACATCCCAGGAACAAAACAAATTGTAAAACCTAAGTAAAAGTAGTAAGCAGCATGACGTACCAATGCCTACCATGTTGCCTTCATGGACTATAAATATCGATTCACTTTTTGAAGTAAATTGTGTTAAATGATGAATTAGACCTAACTATACACTTCTGAAGTGCTATGCTTCATCCAGTAACCCCTAAAAAGATTTATAAATCTGGAATACTGATTAATCATAGGGCACAATGCAATATATATCTAACTATTGTATTTATATATATTTATTTACTAGCCAGGGTACACTGAAACTAAAGAGACAAATATCAAACGGCGTGAATGGTCGATTATTTTACCTGTGAGTGATGTCACGTTTGTTCATTGTGCGATACGTTAATAGTATTACTAACGTCCTTTAATGCATACATTAGCAGGATTAACGTTAACATTTAACGTTAATTTGATTAGAAAAACAAACTTCCCCGTTTTCCCTTTGTACACTACGTACTGCTATTTTTGTATTTATTTCTATGGAAAAACAATGCAGTTTACAACCGCTATTTATTATAAAAAATACCGTGAAGCCTGTGGGTACAGATTTTGCTATAGTTAAATTTTAATGCAAAGCTTGGCGATGGCGGGGGGTGGGGCAACCATCACACAGACCGGGACCGTGGACTATTAACCACTGACCAGAACAGTCACCCGCCGAGTGACAGATTAGCCCAATTGTGAGAAACTACGAGAAAGACGCTTAAATCATAGCGGCCGTGACCGGGGGCGGAGACCCAGTAAGTGGGTGAGCACAGCCAGTGTTCTGACAAAATGTCCTACTTTATCAAAACATCCTACCGTAGTGCTAATCGATAGCCCTAACCCTAACTCTTACCCTAACCCCCCAAAAACCCTTACCTTAACCCTAACCCCTAAAACCTAACCCTAATCCCAAAACGGTGGAACTGCACATGCGCAGAAAGGCTCGATAGCACGTCTCGAAAGGTAGGTTTTGTCAGAACACCGGCGCAGGAAACTCACTGCTTGTGGTGGTTTAGCGTTAACCTTACATACATGCAGTGTACTTACATTAAACAGAGAAAAAAGCCTCAATCCACAACCGCAATTTTGTTTCGGCATGAGACTCAGCTCTTACTGCTGAAGGGCTATAGTGACCCTGTGTAGAGAGTAGTCAAGCTAACTGAAATAACTTTGATGCGTACATGAGACATAGCTATAAAAGAAAACTTTACCTATGATTTCCAGGGCTTCCTGTTCCTGTGTCTCATTGTACCAAGTTCTCTCTTTATCTAGTGCATTATAGCTAGCTACCAAATATGTACATAGCTAACTAAGACTGCAGTCATCTCGATGCGTACGGAAATTTCCCGGAAGCAAGGTAACTACACGGCTCCCCACCTGAAACACAGACCCTTCTCTCCCCCTGCAGAATAGCGAACGCGGCACGGCTTCAACATTGAAGTAACGTGCGTAAGAGCAGCCAGTATTTTGTCGAGTACGGCAAGCACCGAAGGCCAAAAAGGCCAACGAACGCCCTAACGCGCTGTTTTATTAGTTTGATACCAATTATTCAAATGCGCAACCACATGAAATAAGATTTTATTTCGGGCTAGTTAAGAACAATTTGAAGAATTCCACATTTTCTTTTTATATAGTTTCATACATCAATAATTGGACCGGTAGTAATGCAATCCAGATCAATGTAGGCTAAATGTGTGATATGACATTTGAAATGTCATGTTTAGTTTATATTTTCTTGGTACTTAAATAGTGTCATTTGCACTTATTTGTGACTTATTCTCATAATTATGAGGCTGGGAATGTATCGAACGCTGGTCTTGTTTGGCTTCCAAATTAAAAGGCGCGGGGCGTGTTGTTCCTATTCTTTCCAGTTTTGTGATTTAAAACCGATTTCAGGAAATCTGCAAGGTTGTGAAAATGTGAATATGGCAGCAAGCTTGTATGGACTTATGATCAGTACTTTAATTGCTGGGGTATGTAAACGTTGGGTACCAACAAAATATTCGAGCATAAATTACACAAATATATAAGCATATCCTCCTGAGACCCGACCTATTCATTTATGTCCATTGTAGTGGACATTGTATTTTTGCATTTATTTTTTCACTGATGTTGGGAAACGTATTTATTCTTGTTGTGCACTAAAGAGGACATGCTGTGAAATTAAAATAAGAATAAATTTGAAAAAATCTAAATTGTAAGATGTCTTAATTTCTTCCAAAGGCAAACAACCTACAATTGAAGGACACTTTTTTCCTTGGGTCTCAGGAGGATATATAAAAACATAAATTGGGAACAAAACTTTACGACCACCTTAGATGCTCCGACAATCAAATGTCTATTTTAAGCCCTACCCTTCGCTTACCACCACACTACCCTGAACATGGAAGCTAAGCAGGGTCGGGCTTGGTCAGTACTTGGATGGGAGACTGCCTGGGAATACCCGCTGTTGTAAGCTTTTCTCATGACCTCATCCAGGGGGCGCCCCGTCCCCTCACAAATTTAAAATGACCATTCACCCCTTTAAATTTACGAATTGTTGATAATTCGCAGCTTCCTACACACTTTTTAATTACGGTTACCGTTGTTGCTAGATTCTTTCCTGTTTTAAACGCTACTTTTAACTTTATAATTTAATCAATATTTTTCAACTCCAGCCTAACGTGTAGTGGACGTCACAGAAGGATAAGAGCTGGCGACTTCTTCGCTGCCCGAGAAGCCGTCGGTGGCGTTTCTAGCGATCAAGCTGTCAATGTGTCTATTTAGAAAATTCTTCTGGCTGTAATATGCACTTGTTGGTGTGTGAATCTAACAGCATTTTTAGTGTGTGACGTATTAAGTGGACACGCGATTAAGCAGCTACCAGGAGACCAAAGTTAGTTTCATGTAACAAAGAAATTAGGCAGAAATTAAAGTTAATAAAATCGAGGCTTTAAAAGAAGTCTGAGGTGGACGAAGGAGTAATGCTTGCTGGCCAGTAAAAATCTCCAGCTCAAGCTCTGCTAAAAATCCGCCCAACGGAAGTTTAAACTAGCCCAATATCTGAAACCCCAGTGTACTGTATCTCAGAGAAATAAACCAGTATTTTGCATGCTGATCACATTAAAATGTTCAACATCTTAAAACCACAGTTAAACACACTGGTCAGCTGGCTGGTTTTTACATGTATGTAACAGTTTTATTACATTTTAAATATTATATAGTCTATAATCTATAGTCTATTTGTAGTTTCTGCCCCCCGGTCGAGAGACAAGAGGGAATTAAAAAAATAAGTGAAGTCAGTAATCCGCCCGTGGGGTAAAAACTCCCCAAGGTAGGCGGTCCCCATTTTGGCCACGAATAATATTTACAGTCCAAAAATTAAATTCTATTATTAATTTTTGCACATACAATTTTCACAGTTGGGTTTTAAAAAGATTGATATTATTTGTTTCATTATATAAAAGTGTAACATATTTATTGTATTAATTGTTACTCAATATTAAACAATGAATAAAATTTGTTCACTATTTGTTCATTATTATTTTGGCTTCGGCTGTAATGGTCCGCAGAGGGGTGGGGCGCCGCGCGGGCTAGGGTTAGCCCTTCTTGGGTACACTTTAAGGATTGTTCAAGTACTTCGGTTAGTGATGTGTAAGTCTGTCATATGCATCTTCCTATAATGCGTATACATCACACCTAAACATCATATAAACCCGGTATAAAAGCAGGGAGCAAAAACATGGACTGCCTGGGTGGCCCTGAGGACCTTGGAAACACTGATGTACAGCATCTACAAGGCATTTCTTTGGCACGACATGTGTGGGCTGAAACCCAAGCTAAATGGGCAGAGCAGGCAACCTCCACGCACACTGAGCCCGGTCGGGAGTCGAACCCCAACCCTGCATGTACGAGGCGGTACTGTTTCCTAGCATGTTCATTCATGTTTTTGATCCAGAGGTATGACACAAGGAACAAATGACGCAGGAATATGTAGTAATGTTGATTTATTTGGATCTTAATTGTTTAAATTAACATCTGCTAAAGGATACTTTAGATCAAGCTATTACAAGAACATAGGTAAAAATAATAATTAAAAAAAGATATTTAAAAATTATTGGTAGTGTTCTGTCTTCTTGGGTGTCACATTTTTTTTTTTTTAATTTGTAAGAGTAAGAACAAAAGTAAATAATCAGGTAAGGATTTTGGATATGTCTGTTTCTGCTGTACCATGTTGTAGATTCAGTGTAAATATATTTGTATTTATTTTCATACAGCTAAAAATAAATAAAAGCTGAAACGTATGAAATGGATTCACGATAAAAAAAATTAGAATAATGCTCTTGAAGTATTCACACACAATATCTTTGTATACTGGAATAAGTATGTACACATAAATACCAATGATATTTACAGCTAAGTGCACCACCTCTCTGTCTACCAAGAACGCAGCAGGACACTGTAGCAGTACTAGTCAGCAAACTGTAGTCTATTCTCCTGACGTCAGTGTGTTTCACGCGAGCTCCGCCCACCTCCACACGCACGCACGCATACAGACACGCCCCCCTTCTTCAGTCTCCTGCCTACCGACGTTGTCTATCTCTGTATACCTGTTGCTTATGTGCTCACACAACTCCAAAAAAAAAAAAACTCAAAAAACATATGTAGACAGCCCAAATTTCCCTGAATGTTTGGGTGCTTATTAGGTGGATATAACATATTGTACTGACAGTACGATAAAAACACAAATTGCAATAAAATAAGACATTAAAATAACAAGACAGTATTGCACCGGGATTTCTCAGCCCTGACGGCACACTGAGTATTGTGGTTTTTTGTTTAACTTACATTTCATTACTTATGCTTGATTCATTTGTTATAAAACAGTGACATCACATATCAAGAGTTTTAAGCTACAGGTGTTTTTACAAAACAGCTGTTATGGGTGTTTGTACTAAAAAAGAAACTAGGTTTCCATTACTAAAGCTTGTTTATTTTTCACCCTTAGGGAAAAAATAGTGCTGAACTTAAGTTATAACTTAAGAATAATCAGTGCTTTAAGTTGTTAATTGTTTGTGTGGCTACTTAATTATAAGTAAGCATTTATGAATTGTAATAATGAATACCATATTTATTTAATTGCAAAAATACACAAAATATTTTATATTAAAATATATTTTTATCTGATTGAATTGCATTTTCTTCATTACTGGCACTCCACTAATTAAAATTCAGTCTGACATCATTGGGAATAATGCACTTGATTTGACATGGCTGGAAGGGTGTAATTATTTCAACCAGCAGCTCAATCAGGTCTAATTAATTTATACTTTTGCTAGCAAGAAAGCTAGCATAAACGGTGTTCTATTAATATCACAGCTGAGAAATAACTCCAGTCCATGTCCATCAGAGGCATTAAAAGCCAGAGTGTAAAGGGTATTGAGTTACCTTTCAGAGCAATTTGTTAATACCTGGAACATCAGGGTAAGTAACCAAAACAATGAGTTTACTGAAAGGTTTAAGATAAGCAGACTATAGTCTAGAGGGTTCCAGCATTTTAAACCCAATTCTGAAAAATACGGTTTATTTCACGACATTTTTCAGTTTGATCAAATGGATTTATTAAAACATTACTCCAGTTGTCAAACATTTAACACAACTGTTGAAATCACTGTGCTGTCGGAGAATGTTGTCATCCCTTGCAAAATGCACTAATCTGTCACAATATAAAATATTTACTACAAATTCAAAGTACATCAAAACAGCGTGATGAGTAATGTGATCATATGTGTTATCATTAGTATCACAGAGGCTCTGAGAACACTACAGCCATCGATGAGTAATGTGATCATAGGTGTTAGCATTAGTATCACAGAGGCTCTGAGAACACTACAGCCATCGATGAGTAATGTGATCATAGGTGTTAGCATTAGTATCACAGAGGCTCTGAGA